TGGAAGGACGGGGGGTGGCACATGAGGTGGATGGACTGATGGCTGGGTGATGGCTGGGTGATGGGATGATGGTTGGGTGGTGGTGGTGATGGCTGAGTGATGGGATGATGGTTGGGTGATGGCTGGGTGGTGGTGGTGATGGCTGAGTGATGGGATGATGGCTGGGTAGTGGTGGTGGTGGTGATGGCTGAGTGATGGGATGATGGTTGGGTGATGGCTGGGTGGTGGTGGTGATGGCTGAGTGATGGGATGATGGCTGGGTAGTGGTGGTGGTGGTGATGGCTGAGTGATGGGATGATGGTTGGGTGATGGCTGAGTGATGGGATGATGGCTGGGTGATGGTGGTGATGGCTGAGTGATGGTGGTGATGGCTGGGTGATGGGATGATGGCTGGGTGATGGTGGTGATGGCTGGGTGATGGGATGATGGTTGGGTGATGACTGGGTGGTGGTGTTGGCTGGGTGATGGTGGTGATGACTGAGTGATGGGATGATGGCTGGGTGATGGTGGTGATGGCTGAGTGATGGTGGTGATGGCTGGGTGATGGGATGATGGCTGGGTGATGATGGTGATGGCTGGGTGGTGGTGGTGATGACTGAGTGATGGGATGGTGGCTGGGTCGTGGTGGTGATGACTGGGTGATGGGATGATGGCTGGGTCATTGGCCCGCGGGGTTGTTGTGGCGGTGGTGCAGGAGGGAGGAGGGGGAGGTGGGAGGGGGGAGGAGGGAGGGGAGGGAGGGGGACGGGGGAGGGGGAGGGGGAGGGAGGGGAGGGAGGGGAGGGGGAGGGAGGGGAGGGGGAGGGAGGGGAGAGGGGGGGAAGGGAAGGGAGGGGGAGGGAGGGGAGGGGGGAGGGAGGGGAGGGAGGGGGAGGGAGGGGAGGGAGGGGGAGGGAGGGGAGGGAGGGAGGGGAGGGGGGAGGGAGGGGAGAGGGAGGGAGGGGAGGGAGGGGGGAGGGAGGGGAGAGGGGGGAAGGGGAGGGGGGAGGGAGGGGAGGGAGGGGGAGGGAGGGGGAGGGGGGAGGGAGGGGAGGGAGGGGGAGGGAGGGGGAGGGAGGGGAGGGTGGTGGCCCTGCCTACCGTCGTCGCCTCGACTCCCCTCGTGCCCGTCTCTGACGTTGCACAAACGTTTCCGCACGTGCCATCGGGCTTTCGCATGCCCGAGTGTGTGTATGTGTGTATGTGTGTGTATGTATGTGTGTGTATGTGTGAGGTCCTGGGGGAGGGAAAATCCCACAGCCAGGAAAACAACGTGGCACAAGGTGAGGATGACCCTGCTGAGGTTGCGGTGCCTCAAATATTGGAAGAAGTCACCCCCTGTGAGTGGCTGGCTGAGGTGCCATCTGCTGAGGAAGTACTGAAGGCGATCCGGAGTCTGAGACCAGGAAAGGCAGCGGGCAGAGATGATCTCCCAAGCGAAATGCTGAGGGAGGGCGGCGTTTGTGCACAGACTGCCCTATATGACATCATAACAACAGTCTGGACCACTGGACGGGTTCCGCATGATTGGAAGGATGCCCTGGTGGTCCCCCTTTTTAAGAAGGGGGACCACACAGACTGTAACAACTACAGGGGCATCTCACTCCTCAGTGTGCCGGGAAAGGTCCTGGTAAGGATTATTCAGCATAGCCTTGCCAGGCACGCTGAGGAGAGGCTTGCGGAGCCCCAATGCGGTTTCAGGAAAGGGCGGTCCTGCTCAGATGCCATATTTTCTGTCCGTCTCCTACAGCAGAGGTGTAGGGAATTCCAACAAGACCTACATCTCTGCTTTATTGACCTGGTCAAGGCCTATGATACCATCAGTAGGCCTGGGCTCTGGGTCGTTCTTCGTGCTTTTGGAGTAGCTGACCCTCTGCTCACGATCATTAAGGACCTTCATGATGGTGAGCGGGCCCGGGTAAAACTACGTGGCCGGGAGTCAAAGCCATTCCCTGTACACCTTGGAGTGCAACAGGGATGTCCTCTGGCTCCCACATTATTTAACATCTATTTTGACCACGTAGTTCGTGAAGCCTTCAATAGCTGTACCGGGGGAATCTCCATATGGTACAGATATAATGGGAGGCTGATCGATGCCCGGGTGTGGTTAAGGGATGGCTCCCTATTGCTCAACCACGTTATGTATGCTGATGATTTGGTAATAGCTGCTCAGTGAGAGGGGGAGTTGGAGACGCTGCTGCTGAGACTGGAGCGTGCCACTAAGAGGTGGGGCCTTACCATCAGCCCCACCAAAACTAAGCACCTGCCTGGGTATTTTGTACCATCGGACACTCCACCCCCACAACTCCCAATCGGTGATGGGGCAGTTGTGGAGAGAGTGGAGAGTTTCCCATACCTGGGCAGTGTGCTTATGACTGGCTCCAGTTTAACAGCAGAGGTCTCACTCCAAATCAGTCGAGCGGCAATATCTTTTCATCGGTTGCGTAACGCTGTGTGGAAGCTACCTGGTCTGTCGCTCCGCACTAAGCTTCAGGTCCTCTCGGCTACGGTCATTCCCTCCCTTCTCTACGCTTGCGAAACGTGGACCCCCCTAATGGAACATCTTCGCCGGTTAGAAACATTTAGGCTGGCCTGCCTACGATCCATCCTGGGTTTAACCAGACTGGATTGTGTGAGGAGCTCACAAATCCTTGAAAGATCTGGGCAGGGTCCCATCGGTGAGCTCCTCCGGCAGGCAAGGCTGCGATGGCTGGGTCATGTAGCCCGCATGCCCAGCCACCGCATGCCGAAACAGCTTTTGTTTGGCCGGATTGAGGGGGCTAAGCGGGCGCGGCACGGGCTAGAGAAGAGATGGAGTGATGTGGCACAGTAGGACGTGGAGCTGAGTGGACTTGCCGATGACTGGTACCAGCGGTGTCAAGATCGGCCTCTGTGGAGGAGGCTCGTGAAGGATGCTACTGGGCAGTTGGAGGCAGTCGCCCTCCAACAACAACGGAGGACGGAGGAGCGACGCTCAGAACAACGAGCGGAGCGCCGGGTGGCTAAAGCACAGCAGGTTGGCACAGTAGGGGGCACAGGTGGTGCATCAGCCAGTCATCTCAGTCAATCGACCCGTGGCACCTGGGTCTGCCCCGTGGCCTCCTGCCAGCGGGCGTTCGACACTTCACGTGGCCTCAGGGTGCACATAGCCTGGCACAAGCGTCGTGGTGACGTCACCGCCACTTAGTGGCGAATGGCGGTTGTTGTTGTTGTATGTGTGTGTGTATGTGTGTGTATGTGTGTGTGTGTATGTGTGTATGTGTGTGTATGTGTGTGTATGTGTGTATGTGTGTGTGTATGCGTGTGTATGCGTGTGTGTATGTGTGTATGTATGTGTGTGTGTACATGTGTGTGCGGTGCGTAAACATCGCCACTAAGGAGACAAAGGCGGCCGGGCGTGGTGCTGGCCACCGACCCCCTCGTGTTCCTTACCGACCTTCATAGGTGCTCGCTAACAGCACTTGCCCCAACAGTCTGTTCAGGCTATACGGGGGATCTTTGACTTTTGTGTGTTTATGCATGTGTGTGTATGCGTGTGTGTGTATGCATGTGTGTGTGTATGCGTGTGTGTATGCATGTGTGTGTATGTGTGTGTGTATGCGTGTGTGTGTATGCGTGTGTGTGTGTGTATGTGTGTGTGTATGCGTGTGTGTGTGTATGCGTGTGTGTGTGTGTATGGGTGTGTGTGTATGCGTGTGTGTGTATGCATGTGTGTGTGTGTATGCATGTGTATGTGTGTGTGTATGCGTGTGTGTGTGTGTGTGTATGCGTGTGTGTGTGTATATGCGTGTGTGTCACTTGAGGAACGGTGGTGTAGCGGTTAGCTACACCACCGTTCGATTCCCGCTCACGGCCAACACCGGTGACGATCATCTGAACCGGTCCTTGAGCCTCCCCTAGGTCGACTCAGCCTCAAATGAGTACCTGGTGCGGAGCGTCGTAAACATCGCCAATGGGGGAGGGTGGTGGTGTTGGTGTTGTGATGTCGAGGTGCTGCAGAGGTGTGAGGCTTGGAATCTCCAGGATTACCTCCCAGAGCGTTGCAGCAGCAGCAGCAGCAAGGGCGGCGTGGATCGAGGGGCTCGGGAGCCGCTCACCGATGGGGTCCCCAAGGGGGTCACACCGCCAGCACCCCCCAGCAACCCCCCCCCCCCCAGTACCACATCCCCCCAGCATTGCCCTGCCAGCGTCTGGATGACCCTGCATGTCGTCGTCTTCCTGTAGGGGTGGGCTTTGTCTGAACCGGTCCTGGGCTTTCCCCTAGGTCGACTCGGCCGCAAATTAGAACCTGGAGGCAAGTGTGTGAAACATCGCCACTGGGTGGTGGGGGAGACAAAGGCGGCCGTGCGCGGTGCTGCCCGCCCACCCCTTCGTGTGCCACAGTGCCGGCACTTCATAGGCGCCGCTACTCGCTACTCACAGCACTTGCCCCTACAGCCTCTTAAATCCTATAGGGGAACGGGCGGGGGGGGGGTCTTAGTCTTGCTGTCTGTGTGTACGCGTTGTGTGCGTGAGCCACCAGACCTCCCCCTCCCTCCCCCACCTCCGATGCCCCGGGGTCACGGCCCCTGACCCCGTGTGGCTCGGGTTCGCTCCCGACGTCGGCTTAAGAGCCCTCATGTGCGGTGCTGTGGGCGGAGGCCCGCGGAGTCTGAGAGCGACGCGGTCGCCGGGGCATGCGGGACGCGCGCGCACGTGTACACACACGCGGACGTGTACACACACACGTGTACACACACACGTGTACACATACACACGTGTACACACACACACACGTGTACACACACGTGTGCGTGTGACACACACGCACACGTGTGACACACGCGGACGTGTGTGTACACGCGCACGTGCGTGTGTGTGTACACACACGCACGTGCGCACACAAACAGTATTCGGCTGCTGTTATACATTTACACGCGGTGGCGATGATGATGATGATGATGCCTACGATAAGCCACTTCCTTGAGCTACGTAGCTCAGTCTGGGGCATTACCTGGCACAAATAAAAACAAAGAGTTTAG